TTTATTTTAAGTATTACAACCATAACCTCTACACATATTATGTTCGTATATATTTTATAGTATATATGTAGAAATTTGTCTTCGCAATTAGTAGATTTGTCTACGGCAACAGGTGCTCCCTGCTAATGCCATCGATGTATATCTTCTCTATTCTGTACGAATAATGCATAATTTGCATACGTATTGTACTTATATACAAGTGTGTACATGCACTTTTTGACAAATCTTTCAAAATCCATTAGAAAAAAAGCAAAATGTGTGCACTTATTTTGGCTCGCAACCATTGCCAAAACTGTGTTCTATTTTGCCTTTTTTTAGAAAATTTCTTTGTTCAATAAGTACATACACACATACGCAAATACTTTCATATATATTCGTACATATGTCCATAGGTATATATGTGCGTCAATGGCAAGCAAGGCAAGGAAAATTCGAAATGAGCCCATGAAACTCGCACAGATCACCTTATTGATTTACCAAAGCAAACTAAGCCGTAAAACCAAATATTTATTTATTTATAGAATAAAGCGTGGAAAATTAATAGTACTCACATACATACATACATATATACGCACCAGCACATCTAGCGACGTCTTTCGCACCTGACAAATAGTGACATAAAGTTCATTATACCATACTAGCGAAAAGCTCAACACATGCACGTCAGACGCTCACGTCTATATGAGTGGCACACACCTGTGATCAAATCGTTAGAAGCATTCACATATAATTTGTGCAGGGTGGTTCGTCGAAAACATTTGTAAAATTTGATGTTTTCTTTCTGCTTAAATACGAGTTGGTAAAGTATCGACTAATATTATGACATTCTCTTGATGCATAAAGCACCGGGGGTTACGATCGCGAAGTTGCCCTCAGCAGAATCTGAGAATTTAGAAGTCTGCGAGCCGGGATACCATTGAATTATCAAACTTTGGTTTCAATCGAAATTACTAGTATTACCGGAATGCCAAGCCTAGTACTGGCTGTTGCTTCTATGCTTACATTATTCTTTACAGGGAGGCATGGGAGGTAAGAAATCACTGGAAAAGAGGGAGGGTGAGCTCTTTTACGGATGGAACAAAGCTAGTCGGGATTATTAGTAGAAGAATACACTGTTGGGAACTTCCCATCAGCTGCAATTTTAGGGTTCCTGACAACTCCAGCGTCTTTCAAGCAAGGGTAGCTGTTACAAAGGTAACAGCAGATCTGAAAAAGATATATAAACTATTTACTTATATCTAGCATCGATCTATTTTATGAATAGACTGGTTTGGATGCCCGACCACAACGGTATCGTAGGAAACTGTAAGGCTGATAAGCTTATTAGAGCAGGTACGTCAGTCTCAATAACTGCGGAAAGGGAACTAATGTCACGCTTTGTCCAGGGCATTTAAAAACACCTTGCATACTCTTCACTTCATAACTTTAAGCATCCAAGTGAAATACAAAATAAATTTAGGTTACACCTTAGTTTCAGCAATACGTAATTATTATGCTACTAAATTTGTGTGTTTAATATAGTGCCGTCTATTGACTATGTACTTAATCAATCCAGCCAACAGTTAACGTCATCTGTTAGAATATTTTAGAGCCAACGGATAATTGTGACTGACAAATAATAGATAAAGACCTCTACAACACCCGAAGCAGAGTGACAAGCGTGTTGAAAGAGGCAAGCACGTTGAAAGAGCATTAAACTGCCAAATAATTTATGCACTGTTCTTGGGGAAAAATGAATTCATTCAGAGTATTTTTCCGAATATACAGAGTGATTACTTGAATCATAACTGGCTCAGTGAGCGGGCTATTTTGGCAGTCAAAAATGTTGATGTTGACGAAATTAACTTCCAAATACAACAGCTGTTACCAGGCCATCTGATGTATTTTAAATTAATCGATACTGTTCTTAATGAAAATGAAAGTGTAAGTTTTCCAATTAAATTTTGAAATTCTCTAAATATAGCCGGAATGCCACCCCATATTCTTTTGTTAAAGAATGGTTCATCTATTTTTCTCCTGCGTAATTTGTATTTACCTCCATTATGCAATGGTGCGAATTTCTTTATCAAAAACATCACCGGCAATATTCTTGAAGCAACCATATTATCTGGAAAGTTTAAAGGTGAAGTGGTCCTGTAGCCACGTATGATACCATTGGATTCTACGATACCCTTCAGGAGCTACAATTTCCAGTTCGTTTAGGTTTTCCAATGCAGATAAGTAAATCTCAAGGCCAAACAATGTTCATTTGTGGTTTAGATTTGGAAAACCCTTGTCTTTCTCTAAGACAACTATATGTTGCATGTTCACGTGTAGGAAAACCATCGAATCTATTTGTGTTAGCTAAATATGGATTAACCAAAAATATTGTGCAGCAATTAGTGCTAATTAAATTTAGAATAAAGTATTGATAATTAAAAGCATTGAATATTATTTTTAAAGATTTAAAACTATTTGTTAGAAATGTAAATAAAAAAAAAAATATCTTACCAAATTCAATAGTATGAAAATTTTGTTCAATCATATTAAAAGTCCTTCCCTTTCAAATTCCAATCCAGTGGATTCTTTTACCGTCTTTAACGTTTCCGTCTTCGTTCGTACAAAATAATTTCATTGTATTAAGGGGTACTGTTCCCCATGAAAAGTATACAACAATGTAATATAACAAATAATTTAGCCACAGCAAGGCGTGACAGAGTCTGCTAGTATATAATATATATGTATATATTATAAATGATCAGCATGACGACCTGCTATATATATGCTGTTTGTCGGAACTACCGATATCGAACTACTATAGCATATAACTTCTATACAAACTGAACAATCGGGATAAAGTGCTTGTATGGAAATCTTTTGTATTTATAAAGGAAATTTTAATTTCGATGCAACCAAAGTTATCGTTTTTTCTTGTTTTATCACAAATAATAATCCGTATATGGGTAACCCTTTTAATTTTTTAATTTTGGCTAACATAATTTACATTGCGCCGAACAATCAAACCTGCTAATGTGGAAATTGTCAAAAACGCGTGCTGCGCATATTTTTTAACTCATCGAAAATCATAACACTCTACCGAAAATAGAAAACTTTTGCACTTGGCTTATAGCCACTTAACTACAAACATAAACTAGTAAGGAAGGGTTAAGTTCGGGAACAACTGAGAGTCAAGTTTTCGCACAATTTTATCTATTTTAGGCACAACTAGAGATAACTAACATATTGACCGATATATTATACATATAATGTGGATTAGGGAAGTCTTGACTCGATTCAACCTATTTTTGATACATAGAATTACTACTGTCAGGATATTAATAGGGGCTTGAACAATTTTGGGTCATAAGGTAGCATAGGAACTAGCTATTGATTAGTGTACTGGAAAGTGAAATAATCAAATGAAATTTAAAATTATGTTATATGAGAAGTGGGCGTGGTTGTAATCACGTGTCACTTGCTAACATGTTCCTAATAGTTCTATATCTCAATTTAGTGCTTATAGTTATAGCTTTTTTTACGTTTTCGATTAATGTCATTTGTGGGCGTGGCAGTGGCCCGATTATGCTCATCTACGAACTCTGCCTTACTTTTTTTGTCAGTGATCGCTCATACCATCTACAACAAGAATTTTTAGTCAATTTACAGCTTGCACGGACAGATGGACGGACAGAAGGACAGACAGACAGTCACCTGGATTTCAACTCTTCTCGTCATCCTGACCGTTTATATATATATATTTAACCTTATATCTAACTCGATTATTTTTAAGTGATACATACATCCGTTAGGTGAACAAAACTATTATGCTCCGTAGCAACATGTTGCAAGAGTATAAAATCTGACACTAATGAAAAAATGAGAAAACTTAATGCTGATTTACAAAGGAAAAGAGTGAAGAATGGAAGCCAACTAGCTCTAGATCAAACTGAAAGATGCTCATATGTAAATGGCATTAAGAAAAAAACTTGAAAACACTTTTCGAACATCGGAGACCGGCAAATTTTCACCTTTCCCTCGATTGTTTGGAGTGTTTTTGTGAGTTTCTTGACACTGATTGTTGACGCCCGCAGGCAAAATGCGCTCTAACAGCGACTCATTAGCTTGCGATCGGCAATCGAACGCCAGAACATCGTTACCTCAGTTCGCCACATTTTTTGCTCGCCTTGATTCTGCGCACTGCCCCTTTTGCGTACTCTTACGCATTGTCGGGATAGCGTGGCACGTACCATGAACTGAGTGGCTGACAAAAGAAGCCATCGACTCGTCAGCTGAGCGCAGAATGGGATGGCGAGGTAGGGGAAGTATACATATGTACATATGTATAGTATATATTCTAACGCCACTGCCATTATACGCGGCCAATGGCTTGCGCATAAGGGTGTCATGCTTAGTGGTGAAATAGCTCTTCTACTAGTAGATCACTACTTGTATACTTGCATGATGGTTTCCAAGAAATGGCTTTGTTGTGCTTTGACTTCTTTTACATGCAGAAATTCCCCGTTTGCTCCACCTTTTCGTCAGCACTTCCGTCAATTGCACGCAGCCACTCACACGTTAAAATTCATATTTACATGTGCTAGAGCATCGGTTGCTCTCGAGCAAAACTGACTCGGATTTATTTTTAAAATATCACACTTGTTTGGCAGCGCTCGTGATCCTCTCAGCTGTCTCCCGCAGCACACAAGAACGAGGGAGGCCTTTTCGTATCCTAAGTGCGCTGCGCAGCTGCTACCGTATTGTTAGCGATGATCGGCGTTACCGTCATCCACACAGCCACCACCGCCAATTGCCACAGCTCAATACAGGCGGAGTCGACGACGACGGCGACGGCGATCGACCACCGTCATTCGTGGCATAGCAAAGCGTCAACACCAACGCCATCAACAGCATCCCCCTGCAGCCTGCGCCATGGCGGTGCACGCGTCGGAAACATTTTCGAGATGTAAAAATGTAAGTGGTATTTTCAAAAACATTTCAGTACTTTTCGAGATTTCCAAGTGATTAAACGTGTATACACAATCAGACCACGAACCAAGCGACGACCAACAGCGATCAGGCCAATACGGAGCTAAAGCAAAACAGACGAAATCAAAATAAATTAAAAATACAATTTTTTGTGCGAAACCGGTGAAAAGTTGAAAATATTTTCCACCGAAAAGTGCGACGAAGTAGTGAATACAAGTATATACATACATATAAACATTGTATGTTTATTGCGAAATTCTCGACAATGCCTATGTGTGGGGATTTTAGATTTTCATAATTCAGTGGAACTTCTCGACCTATAGCAACAAACAAAAGACCCCTAAAACAGAACTGAACTAATTTTTTTTTTTTTTKAATATAAAAAGATAGAGAAACTTTTAATTAAAAACATCAAATTGTGACAACGGTGTTCGTAGACGTGTACTGCGCTGGTGGTGTCGCGGAGTGTCAACGCTTTGGCACACGCGGTCTCATACTTTCGCCGCGTTGGTCACTTCCCGTCCACGCCGCTGAATCATCCGTCTAAATTCTGTCTGTGTGCGCAGCGTCTTTTCGCAAAAATATTGAACGCAAATCGCAAACTAGAATTTGAAAATCGTGCCGCTCCAAATTTCAGGTAAGTCTTTATGCGTTTTTGAGTAGCAATTTGCTTCGTTTTAATTTGTACAACAAACACGCTGTTTATCGCGACGATGATTTGGCAATAATATGGCTATGCATAACATTTTATTCGTAAATATCTAAATTTGTAAATATTTATCATAAATATTTTGCTAAATCTTCACGCTAATGCGCACATACACATACATATATAGTATAGGCATGTTTATATGCATGTAGTGGTCAAAATTTCCTTCAGCACATCGATTTTTAGGAATTGTTGTGAAATTAGTGATCGCAGGGTAGGAATTGAAGAGACCATAAACCGGACTATTTTCGTGCGGATAGTCATAAAAAAGGTTTTAAATAAATGCATTTCGAAATTTTACGTAAGTCCATTATGGCTATAAAGTTGTACCAACAAATTAAAATGTCATTAAGTGGCCTGTGTCTAAGAAAATGTTTTTATGGTTTATAAAAGTTTCTTCTATCACTCAGCCAGCGATTATACATACTTATGTAAAATATATTTTATTTAAATCTCGTGTGATAAATAAAATCTCAGAGTAATGTAAACACTCATATACATATGTGTGTATATGTATAAATAAAAGTGTTCCCAAGTTCCAAACGATCTTGATAAGCTACGAAGCTGCCGATGCCAAGTCATATTAGGAACAGGTACTACAGAAATGTGATATTAAATATGTATATCGATTTATGGCACTGACGTCGAAGAATCGTTTAAATTATAAAGGCCATATGGAATTTTATTCGAATATTTACACTTTATATCAATTCGCTATTGCTCTTTGCAAGAATAAATTCTCGTTGACATCTGTTTCCACTTTATAATTTTCACGAGAGACAATTTGGCTTTTAAACTGTTTTCAAAAATTGCTTTTAACAATTTCACTCAATAATTCAGTAATATTATTTCTCTTCATGAAAAAATTTCGTTTAAAATTAAACGGTTATTTATTTCCCTACTTTTTTTTTAAAGAAAAAACACAAAAACGTCAAATTTAATGAAGAATGCTTATTATCATTCCAAAGAACATTACTTGCTATTTATTTTTTGAAGTTTATCTCTTTCAAATGTTGGCCGTGGCTACGTCTCAACACAGCCACTCCATCGCGCGATGTTTTGCTCCAAGCCCTGAATCGAAACGGGATTGTCCGCATAGACTTTAGACTTTACATAGCCCACAGTAAAAAATCTAACGTTGAGATATCACACGACCTCGGTGGCCAATTGACCGGCCCAAAACGTAAAATTATTTGCTCACTGAAGTGTTTTCTCAATAAATTCATTGACTGATGCGATGTGTGGGAAGCGACGCTGTCATGCGGAAAGCAAATGTCGCCGATATCACGAGATTCAATTTCCGGCATCAAATAGTCGGTTATCATGTTCCGATAATAGTTACCATTGACGGTTACCTGCTCATCAGCATCATATTTAAAGAAACCGACCTACAAACCACATCAAGCGGTTGTTTTTTTTTTTCGGGATGAAATGCCAACTCTTGAATCTCTTTTTATCTCAAGGATTTACAAAGGTTTTTTTTTTCCATGATGAAAATATTCGAGAAAAATTATTATAACCAATTTAATCAATTGATAAAACTTTGGAAGATTACCTGCACGAGCTTGTAAAAAATTGTTGAGCTCGTGGAGGAAACAGTTTCTCTTTGGAAACACCGTAATAACAAATTTAAGTGAGAAATGTTTCGAATAACAAAAGTCGGTATAATCTTCCAAAGAATATATTTTATAGCTAAAATCAGTTTTCTTAAGCGTTTTGCTACTCTACAGTATTCATGATATTTAAATCCTCCTAAGCAATCATGATCTATGATCCCATTAAAATCATTTAAAATTTGTTTATGTTGGCAAGACCGATGAAACTGTGACTGAAAATAGTTGAAGTTCGTAATACCAAAAAACTCGGTGATCGTCTTTCAAATCAACCAAGTTACAGCAAAGTCATTTTCTGTCAGTTCACTTGACTTTACACATATATAGTTAGTAGACACAAAAAGCGAATTTTCCTGAAATTTTTTCTGAGAAAACTTCTAAATTTGCTGGTCCAAGAATGCACACACATATAATGGAATTTTTTAACTGTGTTTTAAGACTTAATATTAGTAAAAATATTTTTTTGGGAAGGAACCACAGCTGATCTTTGGGAGTTATTCTCAAAACTGGATGCTCTAAAATTAAAAAAACCAAACAAATTATGTTAAAGTATTGTTAAATCTAGGAAAGAAAACTAAATTTTTTGACAAAATGGCGGTTTCAAGAAACGATTTTCGACCAATATTTCGTTCTTAAATTGTTAATAAAAAATATTTATCGGTGAGAAAAAATATTACGATTAATTACTAAAAAATATATCTAAGAACTTCGTGTTTAAATTTGAGATTAATCAGTTTAGTCGTTTTCGAGTAATGTGGGTAACTGAAAAACGCGTTTAAAGTTTGGATTCAAGCACACTGTAAGTTCGAAAATATTATATTCGAAATTTTCTGTGTGTATTCTTAACTATATGTAAATTAAGGAAATGAAATAAAAAAATATATTTTTTGAAAACTCTATGAAAAATATATGAAACCCAACAAAATAATACAGAAACATTTAAATAAATGAAATGGATTCGGATATATTTTAAAAATTGGTGCACATTCACCAATTTAACAAAGAAACACATTTCCGTCAACTCAATTGAAAACTTAGTGGATAATTTAAACAATATGGTTTTTTATTGTAATGACTCCTAAAAACATATGTATGATACTAAATGATCCTCATTTCACCACTCCCAAAATATGGAATATTACATATACATACATATATGTACATATATCGTAATATGTAAGTAGATTTAGTTCGCTAGTAAATTTGACAGCAAAAACCTCGAATATATAATTAATGAATCCTTATTGAACGTAAGGATGACCGGTAACAAAAATTGTTGAAATCGGTCAATGACTTACTTCCACAATCAAACACGTAAAGAATGCTCATATATTTAATATATACTACAAGCATATGTAGTTAACATTCAAATGGCTGAGGAGTACTTACATATATAAATAATTACTGTATATCTATTCTGCACTCTTAAAACTTTCGAATTAGCAAGCGTGCCTCATTATTATTGAAATATTTCGAAACGTCAAAATTTCTGGCGCAACTCATAAACGTCAACAAATGTACACAATGTATAAATATATATGTATAAGTGTATTTGTACATATGTATATCTGTAGTTGGTTGAACATTTCACTTAGTATTTGAAATGTGCTCGCATTTATTATTCTATACAATAAATGTTCATAAATTTCTAAGCAAGCGCTGCGGTTGCGATAATTTTAAATTTGCTTCCTATATTCTATCTTCGGCAGCAATTAGGACACTAATTTAAGCAGCTCTTATATTTGAATACAAAGCCATACACTTGTACATATATATAACCATTTAAAAGTGGGACATTATAAGCGAAATACATACATACATATATAATATTTAGTACACACACCTATTTCCATTTCAAATTGCATCTGCAATTGCAACAGCTGATGACAATTGTAAAGCATCTGCAGATAATTTATCTGATAAAAGATGATTATGGCAAAGCATTTAAGAGAATTGCTACAATAATATAAATATTATGTATATACCATATATAAGGGGCCTGGGGAAAAATACAAGATATATTTATGTACATGTTTAGAAAAGAACTTACTTTTGTAGTTACAGTGGGCAATATCTGTCAAGGTAGAGGCACTGCTCCCAAAGAACCTGTTTATAATATTAACTTCTATGTAGTATGTGAAATAATGATGAAGTTATCTATATCCTCATACTATATACCAAACAGAAATTATTTACATATTTACTAAGATATGTTTACTCTATATAAATTCTACTAATATACTATATAATACTATGAGCAAAACATAGTACAAATTTGTTCATTATTTTAAAATTCTTAATTTATTCTTCAAAATCTATGTCGTCACCCTAAAAGAAATCCCTCTAAGCCTCAGCACACTAGTGCCAACGGTTTTGTCAATCCTCGAAACAGTTTTCGGAATAAATAGGTAGATAGATAGCGATTTGCGTTTAATGTCTTCAACTAACTGACTCTAAACGTTTTCCCCGCAGCGGGCATTTGAGTTTACTGAATTGTCTGAATAGAAGTTACACGGAGCCAAATTAAGCGAAAAATCACAAAGAATCAATGCAGTATGCGACGGTGCAAGGAAGTCGGAGTGCACTACACCTTTATAATCGAAGAAAACTATCTACATAACATTTATTACCTTCGACACGATATTCGGTCGATTAATTGTCTGTTTTCGGACCATAAGCATAGATCCGGATCCGCGACAGTAATAATACGTTTAATGGTATCCTGGTAGTGGGAAAGCATTGTTTCAGCACAGAAGTTAAAGCGACGCTGGTCATAGGCCCAACTGATCTTTAGAAATGATTTTCACTGAACTTTCCGATATTACAACGATGCCAGTAAGATATCTGACTGTTAATCGCTGATTCTCAAGCAACAATTCCTTTATTTTATTGACGTCTTTGAATAATTTTACCAATCAGTAACACTTTTTCGCGACAAACAATTATCGTCGAAGTCCTTTTCCAACATTCTCATATCCTAATTTGTACTGATTTGTCGTTTAGATGTCACTCGCATTGACGATCGGCGTACAGAAATCGGATAAATCGGAATGGATAGACAGATGACGTGGAGACCTGAATTTCCACCTAACCCAAATACTGAGTGACCATGGATGCTTTAAAAACTATGTGTTCGAAATTAATCATGACGTTAGTCGGTATTGTCCAGAGTGCATAGAAAACTCTAAACACATAATATTTGAATGCCTCGTTTTTTTACAATATAAAGGAAAAGCACACAATACATATGTGTCAGTCCTCTGATAAATGGAAAACTGTCAGCGAAGCGTTAGCTCTAATTTTGACAAAACTAAA